TGTGACATTCAAGCTGTGCAAAATCTGCGAAGTTGCAGTTGTTTCCAAAATGTTTTAACTGGTGGTGGAGAGCGTGGGCAGCATTTTGCGCCCTTCTTGGTGGCTTCGTGATGATTGGAATTCCGTTTCGGCGGTGGCAAGCTAAATGCGCCTTGTCTAAGGATCCTCAATAAAGTCAAAGAAATAGGTCTACTTATGGCTGTAAAGTTTATTTTGTGTCCTCTTGGGCTGTTTTGTTCTTGCGTTGAATTTGTTACTCACTTCCTGGGTGTTTGTAGCCCTCCATTTAAGCTAGTGTGTGGGCCCATTTGGTGCTGTTTATTTTTATTTTTTTTTATGTTTTTTTTATGTTGTTGGACATGCTTTCGTTTGCCTTCATTGGTGGCCTTGTGCAGGCCCCCTGTTTTATCATGGAACATGGCGCCTGAACAGTTTTTATGCCGGTTCTGTTTTGTTTGTAAGTCTGTTCGGGTTGGGTTCTTGTGTTGTAGCTTTGGTTGTAGCTTGTAGCTTTGTGCTTGCGTTTGCTGCTCCTTTTGGTTTTTTTTGTTGTAGTAGTGGTAGGGCCTGGGGTTATTCCCTGTAATCGTTGTAATTTTTTGTTTTGTTTTAATTTATTCTTATTCACCCAAAAAAAAAAACCTTGGCCGCTTAAGCTAAATAAAACAATTAGTGGGCTAAGCTAATTAGTTCGTTAGAACAAAACAGAGGAGACAGGAGAAGCATAGAGGGAAACGTCTTCTTGAGAGATGTTGAAGAGAAATTTTAGAGGAAAAAGGAAAGAGAAATAGGTAAAGAAAATTCAAAGAGAATTCAAATTCATCCATTTGACTTCGAGGAACTGCACACGTAGGAGATTTTAGAAAACCCTTAAATAGGGTGGCTTAAGTTAAAACTACATAGTTAAGCTTACAATTACTCAGAAAATTCTCTTTCTTAGAGGTAAGCAACGTAGTTTGAGTTAAACTTGTTCCCTTAAGCTAATGAAACAATTTTAGTGGCTTATTAGTTCCTTAGACACAAAATAGAGAGGATTGGAGAAAGGACGGAGTTAGTTAGAGACAAACGTTCTTTTTTTTTTTGGGAATTAGCATAAATAAAATAGAAGAATAAACAAGATTACAAGGGCATTAGCCCCACGCCCCTACAAAGCTATACACGAGAGAAGGGAAAAGCAAAGGCCAAGAAAAGCACGACTGAATAAAACCAGACGCAAGATGGTTCCAAACACTACATCAAAAGACAAATTAGCTATTGAACATCAGCGGCAAGAACTAACTTAAAAATCAAATAATGCAAACAAAGTAATAAGCTATGAGCCACCCATCCAAAAATGTCAAACGCCAATTAATGAAAAGTTAGAACCAAAGTAAGCCATCCAGAGAAATCACCGAAATCTAAATCAAACATAGTCTTGAAGCGTAGACCACACGGAGATGAACAGTATTCCTAAAGTGCGCTGGAGGAGGGAAACCCGCAATCTGATGTATGCATCAGCAAATAAGCTATAAGTAACAAAAACACAGTCCCTAGTACATCCCACTAGAGTAGGCAAAATAAGATGTAGTTCTATTAGTAGGTGTAGAACACAAATAGAAACATTAAAGGACAGCTTATTGAA